TCTTAAACCTTACAAAAATTTTCTGTAGCACATATATATTTTTTTGCCCCCTTATATCAATGGCTGTATGTATAAATAATAATAAGACATTATTGAAAATACAAAACGAGTTTAAGTAAATATCTTTTCTACTCACAGTGACTGGAAACATAACCATATAAACTGTTAAGTCACAATATTTCTGTATAATGGAACTGATACTGGCCATTAATATTATGGTGTATAACTTTCCTAGATTGGTGTTGTGAACTTGAAATTGGCCGAACATGCTTCATCATTCAAATAAGTTCAATAGATCAAGTATTGAAGGTTTATTTTTTTTACAAAGTGTTTATATTAGGCAAAAGTTATTCAAGTCAAAAGATGTCATAATAGTTTTCAGATCTTTCCTTTAACATTCAGTGGCTATATAAACTTACCATTGAATAGATGTCAACTGTAAGTTTTTAATAACCTTTATTCGACAGTAAGATAAATATATTTTTTCCTATTATTTACATAAATCATAAAGTTGTATGGTGTTATAATTGGTTAGATAAAATACACTATTTTCTTTCTTCCTATCCTCTGTTTTATTCATTGTTATAACATTCTGTTCTATTCTTCAAGGTATCAGTTCTTCCGATTCTCTGGCATTAACACGTAAACAATTATTACAAACTTTTGGCTTAAATGTGTAAGTCACAAACTGAGGTTTTTTTTTATGCTGCATAGTCGTATAAATTCATTTTATAATTTATCAATGATGCCTAACATACTTGATTTAAAACGTGTCAACAAAACTAAATGTTTATTGAACTCTCTGAAAAGAAAATGAAAACTATTTATTTATGTGATATTACTAACCGAGTTCCTTTTACAGTTGTCACTATTTCAGCGTACTGTATGTTTATTTTGAATGTCATATAACAAGAATTCGACAAACCCATTATTGATGATAGGCTACTGTAACATGTACAACCCTATAAGTCGTAACACATGAAGTTGAATTTCATTGTTAACACTTTAAAGTTATTGACATACTTAAAAATCATATATTAAGTATGGGCTTATATGTTCGGCTTTGAAATGCATTACTTGTGTAATAGTGATACTCCCAGCCTAATCAAATTAATGTGTGAAGAGCCAGGGTTAGCACACTTAACCTAATGTTTGAAAGTCAGTCAAAGCTCTAATTGAATATAAATTTACAAGTTACGTGATCATTTTCCCATTACAGTTTGTTTCCATACAGAGATGAAAATCTTTTCAAGGTAGAGCCAAGTATTTTCTAAAGATATAATACTTAATTCTCAGTCATATATGATACAACACATGTGAAAGACTATTCATTCTTACATATGGTGATATTAAACTTGCTTAAAGTTTCATTTCACTCTTTTTTTCTTTCATTTTAGTCCATTGAAGTGTGATTTGCGTGGTGATATTGAATCCATGACAGAATTCCTCATATTTTCACGTATTTTTTGTATGGACAAAGGTTAGCGCCATCATCTATTCTCTCCTCATAATAATATTTGCCAATATATTACTTTTATTTATAATAAACTCCGATAACCTTTTTCCGTTGTATGTCAATTTACATATTCATACTCGTCTTCATCTTTTTTTCTTCTATACATTGCAGATGAACTTAATAAATATCTAGTAGACTCTAAATCGAATCGCATAATAATGAAACTGGAGTTGAGTAGTTTTGAGTTTAATAAAGAAATTGCCTGCGAACACAAAGCATTAAGTTTTATGATTAATCGCCTGAAATTATTAATTGCTGCGTATGGGACTTTACTGTTAGAGGTTAGTTTATTCTCAGTTTCCTGAAGATTGATTATGCATAATAAGTGGATGTTTTGGTGTTGATTTGAAAAAAAACCCAGTTGTTCTAGTGTGTATCGTTTAAATTCTTGTTGTGTTGTTATTGATTTTCCACATAAATCATAATTATGAATCGAGTTAACAGTAAATATACTGGACAATTTCATCTCGCCGTAATAATGGGATATGGCAGTGTACATACATACCAGGTTCTACGTTGAGACTAATCAACTGACCAACTGGTTATGATTATTCGGTTGACCCTTCATCTTATCGATATGGTAATTTGATATAATCCCCACTTGAGATATCTATGGAGATCTGTTAATCATTTAGGTTCGAAAGATATTTTTATGTTATTTTTACCATTCTATTTGGATTATATTTAAAAATCACGAAATAACATATAAATGACTTAGTTTGACTTGATTAAAATTTTTCTCTCACTTGTCTATGTAGGATACTCCTGAATGGAATCAGTTAACGTTAATTCAACAGAATTGTGAACGTCTTAAATATCATGAAGTTAATATTTTACGTTCTAGCATTGAAAACATTCAAAATATCTTGGATAGTAGTTACAACATCATCAATAATAACTTACTATCTGTCTCTATTAACCGTGACAGTGGAAATGTATGATTTTTCCCCTTTGTTTGAGTTAGTTATAATTTCTAAAGCGATTCATGACTATAATTCTATGTAATTTGCTTGGCTTTTTTTTCACATATTCACAGTAGACAAATTCTGTTTCTTTTTTTAATAGAATAATTTTCCCTTCACTTATTTTACAATGTTTAAGTAGGTTATAATCCCCGCTATAGCTAATTTGAAGCATTTGTTATCTTATATCACTATCTCCTGGTGAATCCTCTTTTGCTTCACTTTTTCTTTCTATATTTTATCTTCTCATTTGAACACTTTTTTTCAATGTACTTTTTATCTCCGTCGATTTTATAACCATTTTATACATTTATTGTAGATAAAATTAGAACGTTTCTTAAATTGTTATTGTAACGTAAATTGTCTTCTTTATCCAATCCTCCTTTAAACATATTCAGATATGTGCAAGCTTTTTTAAAATAGAATAAATTATACATAAATCTGCATTTCTGTTATGTTTTGAATTATTTTAAAGTAAAAATAGTTTATTTTATTGTTGTTCCATCTTATCAAATGGTTGTGTTCTCATACGTTATTAATTAGTGAATATTATTACACCATTTAGTTAGTAAATTCAAACCTATTTAAGGCAGCTAACTAGAAATGTTTATATATTGACCAAGTATTCAATTGTAAGTAAATCATGTCATGTCTCAACAGTTGGACTAATATAATGCATAGGGTTGTTGGTCCGTTTAATCTGATAGTCGCATTACGTCTTAATCGGTAGACGTCGACCACCCAACATGACTCACTGATCATTTAGTATAAATATATCAGTCATACAGGAAGTCGACTGAGTTTGAATGAAAAACTCAGTGGTAGCGTCTCTCACTGTGACAGTAGGGGAATCTAACAAAGCCCATCAGTTCACTCATGAAAACAAACATGTCTTGTTAATAAGTGTTAACTAGCATGAAACATATTTTCAAAACTTATTGTCGACTCTTTCCGATTATGCAACATCTGACGTTTATTTGCATTGGGTGGAAATTGTATGAAGGGGTTTGCTTACTTTCGTCAGTACCACCTTATTAATATCGATATTAAGTATAAAATACAATGTAACTCATAATATTTTTATACACCACTATTTCTCCTAGTGACTGAAATATATTCGCTAAATGATTCCCTACTTTGACTGAATTAAGTAAAAATTATGATACACTAAGTTGCATGGTTAACTGACCACCGAACAAGGCTATAAATTGTAGTGTGAATATCCGAACTGTCCAACTCGACCTAGTTGAAATCAACTTTCAAAGACTTTCTGTTACAATTATCCACCATCATCTCTCTTTTTGTCTCTCTAATTGAGGAACACTCATCCTCTGTCTATTTTATTTTCCGGTTTATGCACAGTTATGAAATGTGGCATTTTGAGTCGATGATGAATATGACTTCATATCATTGTATCTATTTTTAGCTATCTTCCTATTATCTATCAGAAATGATTTATCAATCGTCGAAAATTAAAAAGCACTGGATACTTATACAATTATAAAGTGCCTTTATTCTCAACTATTACTAATGTATATTGAGAAACATTCGAAAGTAGACAAATAGAAAACCAATTCATTATAATGTAATTTGAGAACTAATATCAAATCTTTAAGTGATTATATGTCTATTTAAAGTAACTGGTTAATTCGATTCTTTAATATAAACCCCAAACAAACCGATACTGCTTATAGAGATTGCAAATTAGATAATTATGAAAAGTGAATTTTTCAAATAAATATGAGTCGACAACTCTTCATAGGCCATAGTAATATGCAAATTCGATAAGTTTTTTTTAGATGATAACTCTGATCATATATCAACCTATGTCTCAGTTCATTTTTAATTTTTATAAAATATGTCCAAATAAGGCATTATGTAATTCAATTAATTAATATCATTGATTTGTATCTGTGTCGTTGTTGACTTTGTTAGTTCCATGGTGATTAGTTTATTAACCCCATTAGTTATGTATAATCTTGATAAGATAATATTTTGATATTTACTATTAAACTGCTAATTAAATCTTAAATGAATAAATTTCAGTGTTTAAATTAAATTAAATAGGGAAACAAGACTAATATAATCCAATGAACAAAATATAACATCTCAATTTAATAGAGCATTGGGTAGATTATTTACAATAAAATAATCATATATTTGTGATATCCCAATGAGTATACATAAGAATTTCGTACATTTCACAACTTAGTTTAAGTCGTTTCTTTAAAGAGAAGAAATCATAATTTCCGCTCATCAGGACACCACAAATATATCATTATTTTCGTACTGAACGAAAAAAATCTAATGAATAAATAAAAATAAAATGAAGAAATATCCATTATGTAATTCAAATTGTGATAGATAATCGTTTTAAGAAGTACGTTATCCGGAGATTCGTTTGTATATTGCGGTTAATATCTCGGTCACAAACCCAACAGCTCCTACTTCAGCACGGAAGGTGAAAACTCACTCTCGACTTACGAATGTAAATTAGCTCAAAATCATTTTATAAGACATCATATAATCTACGTCGAATAATTTTTATATCAACTTAATGTCCACCTTGATGTATCTTTTAGTTTAACGCTCACAATGTAAGTGTTATTAGAAGGAGAAGTGATCACCTCTAAAGACTATACATTATTATATTATCTAGTGCTCGTTGACAGATCACTATTTACCGTCAATTATTTGATTTTTTTAATCCGTTCGTTCTAATTCTTTTCATACTTCTTTTTAAAAATTCTTTTACGCTAATCTTCAGTACAATGCAGTCTCATCCATTGTTTGATGGAGCATTTCAATGCCTATTACCGACGAATGTAGTTGATGCCAGGTGAGACAAATTATAAACTTTTCTGTACTTGACGAATTGTGCCGAAAAGTAATTGAGCTGTATACCAGTTAAATATGTCAGGTAGTACTTATCAAAATATTGAAGTTCCATCGTAAAATGTTTACTGTATGATAGAGATTGAAAAAGCCAAATAATAATCAACTTCTGTATGAAGTAAAATATAATTATTTTATCCCGAACGGCAATTAAACCATCTAGCTCCGGCAACAAGTCATTACCAATAGTTAATTTGTATTCAAACTTCAACTTTATTAGTATGTGTTGAGAGAAATAACTATCATGCACTCTGAACACCAAACATTCTAACGATAATTCATTCAGCCTTATAATCAGTTTTCAATAGATTTCTCTAAATAAATGAGTACCAAAGAACTACCAAACTCTTCATTGATATTATCATCGAATCTTTTATTTCTGGAGCACAATTTTTACAATGCCCTGTACCCGTACTAACAACCTTATGAAATATTTAAGTGATTGGAATATGTTTAATTGTCACTTTTATTATTCCCATCATACTCACCCTGAAACAAAAATTTACCTACACAGTAACTCTTAACGTAAAATATAATTTGTTTAACACGGCAAAAATGTATGAACTAGAATATTTGAAAAAAAACCAGAAATTGTTTGATAACTTCTCCATGAGTTCACAGCTTTCAGTTCTTGTAATTATTAGACTAGGTATATTGAAATTTAGCGTTGCACATCTAGTTTGATAAATAGATAAACTTAAGAAATACTGAATTTGATTTCGAATAAGATGATCATTTTTTTTATTTGCTTGATTGAATAGACGATAAGTCTAGTGAAAAACTATAAGGATATTAAAATAAGTTATCTGGAAATCTACATGAAATAGTAAATTATCCTAATGGCAGTATATATATTTTTCCATTTGTTTAATTGACTAATCAAATATTAATGTTCACCTTTGTTCTACTTCAACATTAGTTTCCTTCTAAGTATCTTTCATACTGATTTGGTATTAGATATAGGAACATCTAAAAACCAAAATACATTGGATAACTAACTTGTTAGTCCTATTTCGGGGGGGGGGCTTACTCAAATGTTTACCTTTGACCCTTTCCATGCAAAGTTGAACTCAAAACCTTTAAATTTCATGAACGCCAATATAAATTTAGATCAATTGAGATTGGGTCCTGTGATCCATATCCTAGTGCTCATCTTTTGTCTTGGCTTCTAGGACTTTTTCATTTCATATTTTATTAAGTATACTTTTTGAAAAAAACTGTATATAACTGATTCTTAATTCATACATTCCTTTTTTTGATTAAACTGTTAACTACCTGCAATCGTAAGTGATTTACGTCAAATTCCTGATAACCAAGAAGTATTTGTTCATCCGTCAACCTCTCAAAGTATCACTATAGATATTTTGGAATACGTGGATGCTAGTAATCATGAAGATGCAGCAAGGTAAAGTCGAATTTTCTATTGAATATTATCTAGTTTTTGGTTTTTAATGAAAACATGCAAAATACGTACACGATTTCTTAGCATAAATTATGGAGTCCATTCCCTATTTATGTGATTGAATAGTTGTCTGTGCTTAACGTTCCGAGGCATGGTGCATTGATTAGAAATCTCAGTTTCTTAAAGTTCTGCTATGGAAGATTCCTCGGGACTTACTTACTTACTTACACCTGTTACTCCTCGTGAAGGAGCATAGGTCGCTCACCAGCATTCTCCATCCAACCCTGTCCTGGGCAATACTTTCCAGCTCCTTCCAGTTGTAATTCATCCTTTTCATATCTGCTTCTATTATCCGACGTAATGTGTTCTTTGGCCTTCCTCTTTTCCGCTTCCCTTCAGGATTCCAAGTTAGGGCTTGCCTCGTGATGCAGTTTGACGATTTGCGTAATGTATGTCCTATCCATTTCCATCGTCTTTTCCTAATTTCCTCTTCAGCTGGAAGTTGGTTTGTTCTCTCCCACAGAAGGCTATTGCTGATGGTATCCGGCCAATGGATGTTGAGTATCTTGCGTAGACAGCTATTTATAAATACTTGTACTTTCTTGATTGTGGTTGTTGTAGTTCTCCAAGTTTCAGCTCCATACAGTAGAATTGCCTTGACGTTCGTATTGAAGATTCTCACTTTGATATTGGTTGAAAGTTGTTTTGAGTTCCATATGTTCTTCAATTGTAGGAATGCGGCCCTTGCTTTGCCAATCCTCGCCTTTACGTCTGCATCTGAACCTCCATGTCTATCGACGATGCTTCCCAGATATGTGAAGGATTCTACATCTTCCAGAGTTTCGCCATCAAGAGTGATTGGATTGCTGTTCTCCGCTTTGAATTTGAGGACCTTAGTTTTCCCTTTGTGTATGCTGAGGCCTACTGATGCAGAGACTGCTGCTACACTATCTGTCTTCATCTGCATCTGTTCGTGTGTACGTGATAGGAGGGCTAGGTCATCTGCGAAGTCCAGATCGTCTAATTGGTTCTGAGCTGTCCATTGTATTCCGTGTTTTCCTTCAGATGTCGAGGTCTTCATAATCCAGTCGACCACCAGAAGAAAGAGGAAGGGAGAGAGTAAACAGCCTTGTCTGACTCCGGTCCTTACTTGGAATGCATCTGTCAGCTGTCCTCCATGCACTACTTTGCACTGTAGTCCGTCGTATGAGTTCCGGATAATATTGACAATCTTCTCAGGAACTCCGTAATGTCGAAGAAGTTTCCATAATGTCCTCCTATCTACACTGTCGAATGCCTTTTCATAATCAATGAAGTTGATGTACAGTGACGAGTTCCACTCAACTGATTGTTCGACGATGATCCGTAGTGTTGCAATTTGGTCTGTGCACGACCGATCCTTTCGGAATCCAGCTTGTTGATCTCGAAGTTGGGCATCTACTGCATCCTTCATCCGGTTCAGCAACACTCTGTTGAAGACTTTCCCTGGTATTGACAGTAGTGTGATGCCTCTGTAGTTTTCACATTTGCTCAGATCTCCTTTCTTTGGAATCTTGATGAGGTGTCCTTCTTTCCAGTCCATTGGCACTTGTTCCTCCTCCCAAATCTTTTTGAATAGAGGGTAAAGCATGCTTGTGGTTACTTCGACGTCTGATTTCAGTGCTTCAGCTGGTATGTTGTCGGGTCCTGCTGCTTTCCCGTTCTTGATTTGTCTGACGGCCATTCTAATTTCTTCCGTCGTTGGTGGGTTGACATCTATAGGAAGATCTGTGTGTGCTGCTTCGATGTTCGGTGGATTCATTGGAGCCGGCCTATTCAGGAGTTCCTCGAAGTATTCTACCCATCTGTTTCGCTGTTGTTGAATTTCAGTGATTGGCTTGCCTTCTTTGTCTTTGACCGGCCTCTCTGGTTTACTGTATTTCCCTGATAGTTTCTTCGTTGTATCGTAAAGCTGTTTCATATTTCCTTCTCTAGCAGCTTTTTCTGCCGTCGTTGCTAATTCTTCCACGTATTTCTTCCTGTCGGCTCTAATGCTCCTCTTCACTTGCTTGTTTGCTTCTATGTATTCAGCTTGTGCTTGGACTTTCTCTGCTCGTGTTCGGCTGTTGTTAATTGCTGTCTTCTTGTTCTTCCTTTCTTTGATCTTGTCCAGTGTTTCTATAGAGATCCATTCCTTATGATGGTGTTTCTTTAGGCCCAGAACCTCTTGACACGTTGAAGTCAATGTTTCTTTGATGCCTTTCCAGTTGTCCTCCATGGTAGTTTCTTCTTCTTTCAGTAGATCTTGAAAGGCTTGGAACCTGTTGTTGAGAGCTATCTTGAATTCATTGAGTTTGTCAGTATCTCGAAGGAAGGCTGTATTGAACCTTTGTAGTGCTGTTTGTCCACTTGTCCAGTTCTTTTTTAGCTTCAGTTTTAAATTGGCTACAACTAGGTGGTGATCTGAAGCTACGTCAGCTCCTCTCCTGGTTCTCACATCTTCCATTGTCCTTCGGAATTTTTTGTTGATGCAAATATGGTCTATCTGGTTCTCTGTAGTGTGGTCCGGTGAGATCCATGTAGCCTTGTGTATACGTTTGTGTGGAAATATTGTGCCTCCTATGACTAATTTGTTGAATGCACACAAATTTGCAAATCTTTCTCCATTTTCGTTCCTCTCTCCCAGTCCATGTCGTCCCATAATATCTTCATATCCAGTGTTGTCTGTTCCGACCTTGGCATTTAGATCTCCCATCAGAATGGTGAGGTCCTTTCTTGAGCATTTCTCTATGATTGACTGCAGCCGCTCGTAGAATTGATCTTTAATGTCGTCGTTGCTATCATTGGTGGGTGCATAACATTGGATAATATTCATTAAGATCCCCTCCTTCTTTGTTTTGAATGATGCTTTGATGATTCTGGATCCGTGGGATTCCCATCCTACAAGTGCATTTCGTGCTACTTTGGACAGCATTAGAGCAACTCCCTGAGTGTGTGGAGCATTTTCCTCTTCGTGACCGGAGTATAGTAGCATCTCTCCCGTAGCTAGCCTTTTCTGTCCAGCTTGGGTCCAGTGGGTTTCGCTGATTCCCAGTACTGCCAAGTTGTATCTCCTCATTTCCGTTGCTATTTGGCTGGTCTTCCCGGTTTCCCACATTGTTCTAACGTTCCATGTACCTATAAAAATTTTTGCTCTGGTTGTTAGAAGGGGCATCGGCCTCGTGGCTTCCGAAGGAACTCGGCTTTCACCATGAAGCGTCATAATTCTTCTAAATGAAGACCTTCTAACTCTCAGGGCAGAGTTAAAATGGTTTGAATTATTTTTTCTGGTAAGCGTTTTTTTAGCGAGTTAGTTTTCTACGGGATGGGGTCGCTAACCCCATGCCCAACCCTCCTCCTTTACCCGGGCTTGGGACCGGCAGTAACTCTAGAAGAGCTACAGGCGGAGTTAGATTCCTCGGGAGAAAAGGTCAAATCAAAACACTGACAATTATATTATAAATTCTATCAATCCGTTCGTAATGGAATTTGACGTTAGTTCTGAAGTTTTTGTTAGGTTATTCAGCTCTAGAAACTTTTACTGCTACCTAATATTATTGTAATCCCGTACTAAGATTAGCTTATATTGAATTACAGGCTAAGGTTAACTGTAGAATCTATACTTTTAAAAATAGAGGTCCTGTATAATTAACTACAAAGATATGTCTTCTACTTTGTTTTCATATACTGTAATCAAACATATCAATTAATTTGTGTTACTTATTAGTAGCTATTATTGTTAGTTCCACATTTTTTCCATGAAATTTTTTCATTGGTAATTTGAACACTTATTGCCATGTTACTAATAATTGTAATCATTATTATTTCCATCACTGTGCGTCATTTTTAATGAATATCTACAATTTACTGAGTACTTAATGTTTAACTACGTATTGTATTACCAGAAAATATATTCCTTTCATTAAAGTTTTATTAGGCTCAAAATTCAAATTACTTTAAAACTGTAGATAGATTGACTGAGAAGTTTAATATTTTATTTCTGTTAATATCTTCATGATCTCTATATGTATACAAATTTCACAGTATAAAATGTTGTATTTAGAGATTTGGTCTAATGAAAATTTAACGTAAATACATATATAGTATCAGAAGGGGTATTGTGGGTGTTATAGTAATTTTAATAGTTGAGATCATGAGTCAGTTGAAGCTGTTGTGAGATAGTGACTCACTGAAGACAATGGAGGATGTGTCACTCAATTTCGTGGATTGGTTGAAGTTAGATATTAACACCGCTGGACACCGGCTCAGTAGTTTAAAGTTTAAGCATTCGCGCGCCAGACCTATAGGTTCGAATCTCGCGAGACGGGACCGTGGATGCGCACTGATAAATAGTCCCACAGTACAACGAAACGTCCAGTGCTTTCAGGTTTTCCATGCTGGTCTAGCTTCAATTGACTCATGATCTCAATTATCGTAAGTACATATTAACTGAATATTACACCTTTCACATTATCATATAATTTCTAGATATCAAAAGCGTAGATAGCTTTAATAAATTAATAAGGATATGGAAAGGTACTTTCATTCTTTTGTAAAAGTGTTAATTCTTTTCACTTTCGGAAATTTTATCGGTATCGGTTTCGTTTGTGTAGCTGTAAAGACTAACATTTGAATAGATTTCATGCTGTAAATTATATGTCTTCACTTTGAATTGTGAATGCATTAGTTATATGCTTTTCTGAAAGGAAAAATACTGTGTTTTATTAGACGTTATTAAACTTCATTAGCATGATCTACGTTCAATCATTCTGTACTGAGATGTATTATATATGTATTGTGTCATGTTTTATTTATGAAATCCATAATTTACACGTATTTTACTGTGACACTGTAACGAGTTTTTACTAATGATACGTGTTACTGTACCATTGTACATTCTATTATAACCTGGAGTGTATATTTAACATTGTTCCTAATTGTGATAATACCAGTTACATCTGGATTGAATATTCATCTATGTGGTAGATTACCTTGACTTTACTTATCTAATTACTGATTGTTCATTTTGATTAGTAGTCCTTGCTTTTATATTTTGAATATCCTCTTGAAGGTAATTCCTGTCATAATTAATTTTACATGTACTTAAAATCTGATAACGTATTTATGTCTGAAGATCACTGAATAGCTGTTTCGTACCGCTTTAAATTTCATTAGTAATCCTATGGTTATCTTTTTCTAATATCATTCAACTTCTGATATAACAAGGCTATTATATTATGTCTTGATTCTTAATTCACTTTACAGTTTACTTGCTTGGTTCTATAGGTTAGATCCTCACCTGAACCCTCGAAGAGTTGTTCTAAAAAATTACCATTGAACAGTGGGTTACTAGTTTTTTTCAATTTTGATTATTTTAGTGACGATTTCTTTTACCACAGTTTAATATAAGCTTGTGAGTGATTAAAGTCATGAGCATTGTACAATCAGATATAAGATTTAACGCAGTAACTTTATATCTAAGAAGAAACACTCTGTCATCCATATATCGGTTGTTTAGTACAGAACAGAGAAAAATTGATCTATTATTTTCTATTTTCCAATGGTTGTGTAATTGTTGTCAATCGATAATCAGAACCCCCTTTAACTGGAACAGTTTTCCTTTAACCATTTAATTTATTATATACTAAAATATTCAGGATTTTTTCTTGAGTTTTATAACCATCCTTTTTTCTCATTGATTAATAATACATTCCTTTTTGATATCTACCATTATCAGAATGCATTTTAATGAAATCGGTGCAGCTAATGAAGCTACAGATTCAAACATTTCTTCTCTAAGAACTGTGTCACTACATAATCCAGATCCTTAGTAAGTTTTCTAAAATAGACATATTATGCTTTCATCAATGTTTTTGTGAATTAACTTGTAAAACGTGCTTCTAGTTTAATAAAAGTTTTGTGAATGCAGTCAGCAGGAATTTTCTAAGTCCAGTTTTCATGTTTATAATCATTCACTAACATATTTGAAACCATTAACGACAAACGAATTCAATTTAAAGGTAGTTATTACCAAGATCTAACTCCAGCTAGATACCCATGGAAAAAACTAGCTGTCACTAGACATTGTTACTTCTTTAATTGAAGCAACTACACTGTGTTCAAATATTATGACCCCTTGAGTTATTAAGTTCAGAATTTTCAGACTTCACACGATGGCTAAATACTCTTGAAAGGTTCGTATATTATGAGTATTTATCTGTGATCCATTAGGATTATTAAATCGAGCAGAATAATTCATTTTTCCCGCGGTTATCTTTATCTACTCAGAAATTTCATAACACCCTGGCGAAAAACTTATGTCAGTTATATGTTATTGCCTATCAACGAATGGGTTAACCATGGTATTGATAATTGCCTCTCTATAAAGAGTGAAGCAATACGTAGCTTCCTGAACTCCATTTATAACTATTAAACTAACAAATGATATAAAGGTGACATGTAAACCATGAGATATCAACTTAGTGTTTTAAAGTTTAGACACTCACAGCAAGGCATGAATTTTTGAGTTAGATCTCTCATGAGGCCATGGATGTGCACTTTTAAAAAAATTCTACACTGGGAAGAAACAGGCGTTTTCTGCTTCCTGGCTTTCAATAGTTGTCTAGTTAAGATCAATCCGCGAAGTAAGTTGTGATATTCTTGTAAGTGCTGTCGTGAACAAAATATCAAATCGAGTTATGCTTTAGGCGAGTAGTCATTCCATCGGAAAGTATTGCTGAGAGGAACAGGTTGGTTTCGTTTAGGTCTCGGATGCAATGAGCGCATTTTCACCCTCCACCATATGTTAGAGCAGCTCCTTACTTATTTCAGGTTAACAATCCTTATGTCTTTTAATATCAGGGCTGCCTTTGATTCATTGAACAGGACTATTTCCTGATATTTCATGTTGTAGAAGGATGTATCTGTAAAGTTTATCAGCATCTAGAAGGCCCTGTGTGTAAACACCTCAGGGATAGTGCGTACGCACAACTACTTTTTTCCATTGTTACATTTGAAAAGTGAAGTTAGGCAGGTTTGCCCAATCTTGCCATTCCTTCTTGCATTTACGACCGGTGCCATCCTCGAAACAGCTCCGATGTAAGCAGGTAGTAGTTATGTGAATCTATGACATGTAGAAAGACTTTTTCATTTTGAGTATGCGTATGTTATTTTCTAACTTTGAGATGATATCCAATGTATGCAATCTGCACTTATTGAGTTCGTGATCAATTTCTATAGGTGTAACATGTACCTTGGACCTACTGAATGCAACGTATTTCTACAAAACTAGCAACAACCTGTGTCTTCATTCATTCTTGGTTGTAAGCTCTTAGAAGTAGTCAGAGTGAATTATGTCCGTCTGAGTCATTTTCGGAGCCGTCATGATGTTTGTGTATCTGTAAGTGGCCGAGTGAGAAGAGTTTTGTTAAACCCGACCTCTTCGAAATGTGGGATGTTAGCAACTCTCTGTGTCCGATTATCTTTGTCTCCAAAGGATTGATGACATTCAGTAACAAAATTATGTTCTTAATTTTGAGGTCCAGTAAAGTAAAAATGGAAATGTTTCAAACATTATCCTAGCAGCTTCCAAATCGTGCGTTAGTTACGAACACTAGGGCTGGTTGGAAAAGGCGGAGAAGTGGTTAATATACTACCCGGCACCCTAAAACGAAAGAAAACTTCAGAGGACTAGCGTCTGGCGACTCTTCGTGACTTTGTGGTTTTGATCCTAGATGTTTTGCAACTTATTCGCTTGAGAACATATCAGACAGAACTCAAAATGGCAGCCAATTGTGATCCTGATTTAGTTTTCTATCCCATTTTTTATAAATTAGGAACTTATTACATTCCTTCTATTAGTCTTCCTCTCCTATCGCAATTTATTTTCTTTCATTAATTTTCTACACGTTTTTTTTGTTTTTGATTACGTTCCCCTTCTCGAATCTTATTTTTCCACAATGTCATATCTTATTTTTATGGAGCATATTTATACAGTACCCACCCGTACCAATATTTATATGTTCAAATAAATAAAGTTTGGTCAAAAAATTCTCGAAATATACATAATGTATTTTATAATGTACCAAGTGATAATCTAGTGAATGAGAACACCTGTGGGGGCAACCAATTGTATTTGATAAAATCTGATGACTATACGGTAATACTTCATTCTCAAAATATCCACCAATTGTCTCAAACTTTGTTTTTCCTTCGTTTCCATACCAATCACTCTTTGTTCTCGTTCTCTTCTCTCCGATTTTCTCAATCTTCTGCCTCCAAGCATTCCTTTTTTGATTAGTGATACATACTACCTATGTTTGTCAATATCAGTAGCATACACCATAATAATAAACTAGCATAAAAATAGAATATTTCCATATTTAGATGTTTATTAGCTAGACTACTATTATTTTCTTTAAATAAAATGCGTTAGGCAAAATCATTTAACCTACACAAATTAATTTCTCAGTTTACCATACTTAAACATGCACAAAATTCAATAATTCATTCAAGAGTTTTTCTTTTTTGAAGATAAAAACCGATAAACTTGTTGTATTTCAGAAATGCAGAAAAAATCTATCTATTGATACGTATTAGTAAGAATGTTATACTCTTTCACCCGCGCGCGCTCTCTCTCTCTCTATGTCTATCTTCCGACAACTAGATTATGTTAGCCAGCACAATAATCAAAGATTTTTTTAAAAAAAACTTATGTAAATTACAGTCTTACATTTATGGAATAATCAATCTCAAATTAATTATACTGGTTTTTTTTAAAAAAAGGGTTTAACATGAGAAATAATAAAAGTGAATTTGATTATTCCACTTGGTTAATTCTTATATTTTTAAGGCTCTATTTTTTTAGACAAAGAGTTGCTTTTAAAATTTCTTACATAACCACCGTTTCGCTTCATATTTAGACTTTCTCTCTCTTGAAAATGTAACAGTCGCCTATATATATATTCAGGTAATTGAGTAATTGCCAACTTGGTACTCAATATCTGTTGTCGTTGTTGGGGGATACAACTAGGTCTCATTATCAAGATTTGTGTTTTTCTTGAATTTGTTTTACGGAACATAAATAAAAATCTATTGTATTTGGAAGGATCTATGTATTTACTTATGTTGTGAACCAATGGTTTTACATGTTTGTCTGAATTGCTTGTTTTGTAAACTAATTTTTAAAAAATCTATGAAGCTACCTTGCGGATTTTTCTGTGCAACATCAGTTACACATACGGATTGTAACCAGCATTAAAGTCCAGTACATGCGTTTTGCCCTGTTTTTGACTTGTCAGGTGGGTATCCTTTCATCTTAATGTTGATTTCTACACAGATTCAAACCAAGTGCTGTTCACTCCGAATCTCAACGTGTCATCTACTGAGCTACTGAATTCAGACAATCACTAACTTGTTCAGTGGGTTCAAAATGTAACTAACACTGAAAAGAATCGACTTCACTGTGAACATATTACTTATTCGTTTGATCTCTCTCTCTCTGTTGATAAACCTCTCTATATAATAAATTTTTTTGTTTTCAATTAATTTATAGTTGTTCTTCTGTCGTTTTATTATCTGGACAGCAAAAAGTGTCCAAGTTTAATCAATCCAATGAAGATGTTGTATTCATTTACATGGCTTTATATAGATATACACAATTCCAAGCGGATGTATTAGTTATTGTCAATAATCCTGATGGTGAAGATGGGTATGTTATAAAGAAAAATAATTCTCTTTCTTGTTATAAGTAGTACGTATTACCCATCTACAAAATGTAAATCGGTTTATTATTGCATTTCTCGTTTTATTATGAATCTTATTTCCACAATTACTTAATATTATCAACAATTTAAAATCAACTATTACTATAAACCAGTTTGCTAATACCCAAAATCGAGCTTCCTCGATGTTTAACAATTATGAAACTACTTGATAAAAGTTTGATGATGCAGTCGCTAATTATAGTCAATGAGTTTAAAAGTTCAAATATGACTATATCTGCTTCATTTCGGGGAACTGGCTAGTATCAATAAATCTCAAATCCTCCAAGTGTGTTTTGAAGTTAAATATACAATTTTGTACTTAATGAATGAGTTGATCCATTACTTTTGATCGGATTCTAAAGAAATGCATTCCAATTTCGTTCAGAAAAATAGTTTTTTAAACTACGATTGTGAATTTAGAGGAGATAAATTGTTGATTGTTTATCACATTTGTGTATTACAAAATGGTGACCGACAAAGTCCTCAGTTAATTAGCAACAAGCAATAGTTATGTAATTGGTTTATCAAATATTCTGTTTTCTACTTAATGTTTTTCTCAACTTATCCCGTATATCTTGAATATCCAATAAAATGTCTAAATTAGGATGTTGCACTAAATACAAAACATCTTCAGACGAATTCTGTTCATTGAAATCATGGACATTTGTGTAAACGCTGACAGTAGTGGTAGTATTGCTATGAATAACTAGGTCACCGTTGTCTTTTCTTAAACAACATTCCTGAGTAATTTTTCAGTTACTTTTTAGTGCTGTCATAAAATATTCGTATTTTAATTAATAACAACGCATACACCCGTTAAAATTATACCATTCTTTGCAAATGTTTTGATTAAGATTAAAAATACTCAACTCAGTAATAATATCGACCAAAAAAACCAGTATCATTTTCACAAAAGTCGACTGATATAAGTTCAATCTCTGAAAACCAAACAAGAACCAAATTGGCGACCTGCTTGAATATCTAGTTATCTGTTCTTGTCATCTAGATATTGCAACAGGTTACCTGTTTCTTGTTTGTTTCAACAATATCATTATGTCTATTAATCGCATAACTTAATAAGGCGTATTTATGAAAATTTTATGACCTTTCGCTGTACAAATTAAAAAAGTACAATCAGGTGGCGGGCATTAATCATTGAAATGTCGATTTCATGAAGTGCTGTCATCTAACTGTCGATCACATATTATTTATCGTCAGTATCGATCAAGAAATAAGAAAACGGAACTTCTTGACATACTTCGTGCTGAAAATTCTATATTATACCAAAAATATAATATTTAATAAAGCCGTTAATAAAAATAACAATGATGTACAGACTATAAGGAATTAGAAAGAAAATGCTAGTTCCGTAATATAGTTAACTCGAACTGATGTACGTGCGTACGAAATTCTACGTTGTTACTGACTGACTGAGAAAGTAAATGCTGTCATTGATTATTTGATAGTAAAATCATTATTCCAATAGGTTAATTAATTGATATATCACTTCTAATTGATTTTGTCTGTAGTATCTAATGCTTTACTGTCATTAAATACTAATGATTGTGTTTCTTGTCCTTTTTTTTACTTTCAGTAGTATCATTCATTCACCTTCATCAGGTCACGATCAAGTTCATTTCACGTCCCAAAATAATAACAATAATGATACTAGCTATTCTACAGATTTAATATGGTCACAAGATGAAATAAACACAATACTACCTTCTTTACGTCTAATAAATGCAAATGTTTTTGCATCATAACATTTGATAATTGTTTAGATAAAATGTTGGTATATGGTATTTTTTCTATTCATATATATATTTGAATAAATATTCTATTTTATATCTTTATACTGTTTATAGTGCATTTAAACAAGTCCTCAACTAACAGATTTTGTTCATTTGTCTTATAATGTATTTGTTTTGAATCCATTACACTTTTGTAATGAAAATTTGTGTTTACAATTCAATTAACAGATACATATACACCATGAAATGGTGAATAAACATAGATTCCAATAAATCTATCCTAACCTACATGAAGAAAATCTCTATGATCATAAACGGACTATTAAGGCCTTTAGGAATAGGTGCATCTCATAAAATGTTTACTTTCAACATTATACAAGCCAAAAAATACAACGACAAACGAACATTATCTACAAGCTAAATTGCAGTATTTGAGAAAAGAGTTACATGCAATAAAGTACTCAGCATATCCTCATGTATATACGTAAACATTAGGTGAGTGTTAAACATCGAGATATAGCCTCGCCTATAGCAATACATGTGCACAATTGTGGAGATGAGTTAGATTGAGAAAATGCCAAAATATTGAACAGATGGAACATAAAATACTGAAAATTCAATCAACCATCAATCAGTGGGCATATTGAAATCGGCCCGATCAATAATTCATGAAGGAAACAGATAAAATTTAACTCCAGATAAACGTGTAAACAACGGTTACACAACAATTGACAACAACTAATCAAATCCTTAGTCCACAAAACGAGCTGTTAGTTAAATGTTTTAAAATTCTAATATTATATTTTTTCGAGTGTGCTGATTGTTTTCTCTAAAAAGATCATGAAACCACGAATAGGTCATCCAGTTCAGAGAATACATTACTTCTAAAATCTTTATTCTAAGGTATCAGTATTCATCACTATTTCAATGTATATTTATGTAATTAATCTTAACTCCCAAGTAAAAATTTAAAACCTCTACTAATAATTCAAAACAATCGCTATGATTGGGAATCTTGGACTTGATAATTATTCCACAATATTGTGATTACTTCACTTATAGTCTATAAAATCTTCAATGTCCAATTTGCTACAGATAACAAACTCGCCAGGTTTTTAATCAGTTGACGTGCTCCTCATTAAAACTTGATGTCTTAACTCATTGTAAAATAAATCTAAATTCAAAGGAATTCTGTACTGTGAACAGTTTTACGAAATTTCTCATCTTTACAGATTCCTAGTGTTTTTTAATTAACTTAAAATATTTAAATACCGAAATATAACCCTTGAGTGTATTGAATTTTAAATGAGTGCCAAGAAATATAAAATCACCAAATATATATACATATGTAAAACATATTGTTGAGTCGGCTTCCGGAGAACTTCAACGGAGCCCCTAGAGGCCCAAAAGGAGCCGGAGTCCTAGCCAATCAAAGCATGATGGAGCATTCTAGAAGTTCAACGTGGCGTGCTACTATTTGTCAGTAGCATAATATGTCGTTAACGGATTGGCCGAAATATGATATTGATTTAACAGACGCTAACATCTATAAATACCCATGATTTTCTGTACAAAAATGAACCTTGGGATAAAGTATTTTCTCTCATACTTTGCGTCTTCTCTCTGGTGTTCACGTCCCTGTGTAGTTCTAGCGTGCGGGTCATTGGAATAGCTTAGGAAAACGAATATAGCGTTCGATCGACAAGACTTATCACATATGACAAACTTTTTACGGTACTAGAATGTGTTTCCATATTTATCGACTGTTAATATCTAACTAAACACAAACGAGTTATGTTTTCAAGACAAAATTAACTAATATGATTTTCCATGTAAATAAAAAAGTTATTACAGGATAAATCAAATTTGAATAGATCTTTCCTTGGTTTATTGACTATTCATACTACACAATAAGCCAACCAAAATTCTGTACAACCAATAAAAATAATTCAATTTTAAATATGATCTCTACTTTTAAATGAATAGAAACTTTACTTAAGGTTACATAACAGTAAAAGTTGCCTACTTACACGAAGAAATAAGTGGTGTCACCACTTCTTTTTTTCAATTGGTAGATTACTAATCCCCTATTACAGTCATCTGATCACAAATAACGTGACCAGATTGTATTGTATACTTATTTATTTAGAAAAACAATTAAATATGGTAACATATGTAAACCGTGCTTTATGTTGAATTGATTTGTAACTAAATTGTTTTGGAGACATGGGGTTGTATAAGCTGAAAATAAGCAAGTATTTTATTTTGATGGGGTACACAATGAAATATTCAAACATGAAGTATGGCAATCATCTTAGTTAGGTTCAAATAAATAAGTACTCCTGTGATGGCAGAGAATTATGTAGGTTTCGTTGATCAGATATTCAGGTTCCATTTAAGTTAATTTTAAAAAATTTACTAGTTACCATACCAAGTACGGAATTCGAAATGTTGGGTCATTATATAGTTATTTGTGATTAATTTATTTGCGATAACAGATGGTTGTATATCGACTCATTTCAATAACATACTGAAAGACATGGAGAAAAAGCCCATGGGAAATTTTTAGCTAGAACAATTAATTAAAGTATAAGGAAACAGATAAAGAACTAAAACTAAACTATCTTTCAGCAACCTTGAAACTACTAGGTAATCCACATAGATCGTCTTCAACTTACCAAGATTCTTCCTCTACTATATCCTTATTGCAATCTTTTATATATAACCACCTCTGAATTAACTACTTCTATGAATCCGGTGTCCATCTTGTTGTGTTAATGATGTATGGCTACTTGGACCGATGCATATATGTGCCTAGTCCTACGTTGTAGCTGACTGGCTTACCAAGATTTATAAGATCAGATAATATTTATTTCTAGCTAACTGAAACCTTCACAGTCTGACGCAGGAACTTATACGTGATTGTTGATTGGTATCATTTATCGTAAAAACAAAAAACGATACAGACCTTCCAGAACATTTCCCTTTTCGATGTTTCTTATGTTTGTGTAATCCCAGTATTTGTTTGTTCATCTAATTTAGTAATGTGATTTTCAACTCTGACTACAACAATGTGACTTGCTTCATTTATGTTACGACCGATAGAAATGTACTTGTCTGACTATATTATCACCCTCACTTTTAACATTGATCAATTAACTATGACAAGTAATACTTCACTTTAGTTCAATATTTTGAACACAAATGACATTTTTAATTCCTTAATATAAAACTTCGCATAATCAGTTAGTTTTTTAATGTTTTCATCATTCAAACTCCATTCGGTTGAGTCCGGTTTTGTAGGTAAATTATCAGTTCAGCTACTTCTATCCATACCACTAATTTTATTGTTTACAACTCTGGGTATTATAAGTTACCGACGGTAATTTGATCCGTTCCACCTTCCAAGGATCATATAATCTGTTTCGAATAAGTTTTAAAGAAGTTGCTCGTTATTGTAGTTATTAATTCTGTTTGGAAAAGTATTGTTGCAGTAGAATATATAATAATTTTCTGGATTAAAAATTATTCAATTCTTACCTTTGCTTCACTGAAATCATGAACGGATCAATGTTAGATCACCGTTGAAAACCTGGAAGCACTGAACAGCCGTTCATTGATTTTTGTCATCAGTAAGTTTTTTTGCAGGGACTTATTTCCCTACTAACACAATGTCTGATATTCAGTGAAATTTTATATAGTATTTGAAGTTCATTTCCTTTTCTTTAAAGATATTTCATCCAGTATTAATTATTTGAATAGAAAAATTATTTTACAGATGTTGATCTGATAACTTAACCTATCGATGTAGAGAAGCAGTGAGAAATTTGAAGTTCTTCTAAAACATGTTACTAACATTCGGAACATTTAAATTATTCAGAATAAAAAATTTTCTTTACGCTAGTCAGTATCTAGTCATAATTAAATAAATATGTCAATTAGTTAGTGATGGGAATAATGACCAGAATAAACTTCGTCCATTTTATATGTTCAACATTTAAAAAATATTACCACAAAATATGGCAAGATAAGAAGTTCGTTAGTATCATTTCCATGTCATTCTTACTTTCGTGTTCCAGAGCAAACCGTCGGAGACTACTCATCTCTTGTAGTAATAATAGTAATAAGTTTTGAACAACCAATCTGAAACACGAATACACAGAGACATCTGTAATTGAGTGGCTTAACAACCCGGAATTTAAAAATTAGTGTTAAGTCTTGCTGATTTAGACGCTATATTCGTTCCTAAGCTATTCCAATGACCCGCACGCTAGAACTACACAGGGACGTGAACACCAGAGAGAAGACGCAAAGTATGAGAGAAAATACTTTATCCCAAGGTTCATTTTTGTACAGAAAATCATGGGTATTTATAGATGTTGGCGTCTGTTAAATCAATATCATATTTCGGCCAATCCGTTAACGACATATTATGCTACTGACAAATAGTAGCACGCCACGTTGAACTTCTAGAATGCTCCATCATGCTCTGATCGGCTAGGACTCTTCGGCTCTTTTTGGGCCTCTAGGGGCTCCGTTGAAGTTCTCCGAAAGCCGACTTAACAATAAGTTATGTTTGAAACTGATCCAATCAACTTCGAGTTAAACACTCCACAAATTGCAACTTCAAGCCTGGAACACAAATCAGTTGTTCATTATCGAACAGAATTAAACTTTACGATTAGTTATAGATGAGGATCGCTTCCAATTTATAAACAATGGAGAAAAATGTTACGTAAAGTGTCTTATTTTTTCAAATCGACGCCATCCAATAATTTTTCATTCACGAAGTACAGGCTTCTCTGATTTCGGTTTTCAGTCACACTTTATGTGAAAGCCAGTAATATAAACCAGCTCACCAAGTAGGTGGAAAAAAGTTCGAACAAGGGATTAATTTATTATTTATTTGAACACATAAATATCGGTACAAGGAGGCACCAGATACATATACGCCACACAATAACAATGAAAATGGGAAGAGATAAAGGATTTAAGGTGCGTATAAAAAGAAGAAAACAATAACGACCACAAATTAGTGTACGGTAGTGAAATAATAATGGGAGAAACAGAAAGGTACAGCCAGAAGGAATCTTTTAGTTAGAGAAGTTACGGCCACTTTTTATGAAGAAAGTAAAAGAAGATTACAGCACGATCGCCACTGGCTTCTATTCTGAGCCATATCTGATAACGTCTCTAGCCACTGTGTAGCACCATCTCTCGCACCCCAAACAGGGAGTCATGAAGAACCAATAGAAGCCAGTCCTGTGCAGCTTTCTTTCATACCACGACACAATGTCATACACTAACCACCTCCCTACGTTTTCCAACTAATCCCAGAGTCGGCAAATAATGCACGACGTGGAATTCTTTGGGACGACATTCGGAGAACATGTCCAAGCCACCAAAGTCGGTGTTTCAAGATGGTGACACCAATTGAATTATCGTCTCTGCGCCCGAATACACGATGCCGAACCTCTGCATCACTAACATGGTGCTGCCAATTGATGTCAACAATCCTTCGGACAGCGATGATCGAACACAGAGAGACTTCTAACATCCTCAACTCGGAGAGGCCAGTTTTCACAAGCATAGAGCAGAGCTGCTCTCACCGACGCGTTGTAGATCCGACCTTTTACAGCCAGACTAACATCACGAAGGCGCCAAAGGTGGCCCAGATTGGCATAAGCCGCTCTGGCTTTCACTATACGTGCATTGATTTCATCACTCACACCACCACAACTATCGATTCATCCCACGATGTTGGAACACTCTCTAGTTTCCAAACTTTCGTAAACAAAACAGCCGGTTCCTTAACGAGAAAGTCACCTCCATCTTTAAAAAGGACGGAGGTAAGTCATCAGGGCCAGGTGATTTGTAGCGCTTAAAGAGTTCGAGTTCCTTGCGGACTTCCGCCTCATTTGGTGGATCAGTCGTCACCGGTCATGGAGAGCAGGATAGTCTGACCGATGTTGCCGGAGCAGCAGGCCAGTTGAACTGCCCTTTTAAGAATTTTGCCCATCGTCCAAGACGTCGATGGATGTTGGTGACTGGCATCCCTTCATCCTCACAGATTGTTTCGCTCACACCAGACTTCTTGTTGCCAGTGTCTCGAATGAGTTGGAAGAGCTTTCGGCATTTACCAGATGCAGCTGCTGCTTCCAACTCATTGGCATGCTCCAACCACCAGGCTTCTCGGTCCTTACGCAAACTTTGTCCAATTGCATTACGTAACAGCCTTCGCTCGAGGTCAAACTTACGGACACCCGTGAGTAGACCGACGGCATTCAATGGTTTGTAGGGAGTCAGAAAAAACCTAGTGCTTATAAGCAGGACGTTTCGCGAAGCCCCATGTGACTTTACTCGCCATTTTCATTACATCGTGCGATTGCAACCCATGCTTATTTATACTTTTCGGTGGGATGGTAGCTAGCCTAGAACCTAGATCAGTTTGATATTTATTTGCAACAGAAGCTGCAACCAATTCGCTAACATCGATCGGTTTAGGACGATGAATTCGTTGGCCACTGAAAAGTAAGGTAAGATTAGCGCAAACAAAGGCATAATCCGAGTCCAGCTACATACTCCAAAAGCAGCGGCAGTCTTGTACACAACCACGCCAGTGGTAGCTGATAGCGATGTGATCAATCTGAGTCCAGGCTTGGGATACAGACGGAGGACACCAGGTGGCACATCGGTGATGACTGTGCTGGTAGTTATTGTAGGTCCGAGACAGGTTGTAGTCTACGTAAAGTCGTAGTAAACGGTCACCTTTATCTAACCTCTGACTAACAAGTCTCCATCAGCCACCCAAACGACTCTCTTCTACGTCTAAACGCCCGACCTGAGCATTCAAGTCTCCGGCTAGTACTACAATATTTGTCGAACACACTTTCTGTAGAACAGTCAACTGGTTGTAAAGCTCATCGTTTGTCGCATCCAGGCTTCAGTCTGTCAGAGTTCACTATCCGTAGTTGGTAGTAGCATTCAACTTTCAACTAGTCAGTGACTTGGGGTTGTTTAGATAAGACAGGAATTCTGCCATGGGCGAGCTGTTGTATAAGTTTAAAAATGAAATGCGCAAAATGATAATAAAAAAAGAAAAGTCAAGTGGAGTAGTATAAGGAAAATAAAAACGAATATGATCAAATGATCGTGACTGTGATTTGTCAGAACGAGAATTGAAGCAAAAATGATTTCTTTAGTAGAAATCATCTTTTGATTTGTCTGAGGGTTGGGATAAAATCCAGAGTCCAGATAGGTACTTTAAAAGGAGCGGCAGTCTTGTACACAACCACGCCAGAGGTAGCTTATCGCAATGTGACCAATCTGAGTCCAGGCTTGGGGTGCAGAGAGAGGACGCCAGGTGGCACATCGGCGATGACTGTGCCGAAAGTAAGTCCTAGCCAGAAACAGACTGTGGTCCGTGCACAGTTGCAGTAGACGGTCCCCGTTATCTGACCTGCGACCAACGAGTCTCCATCGGCCACCTAAACGATTCTCTTCTATGCCTAGACGTCCGACCTGAGCATTCAAGTCTCTCGCTAGTACTACAATATCTGTCGAACGCACTTTCTGAAGAACAGCTAATTGGTGGTAGAATTCATTCTTGGTTTCATCTGGGCTGCAATATGTCGGGGCATAGGCGGAGATGACGAAAAGACATCGTTCCTCACACCGATTTCTTCTCAATTTGATGGAACTTTCTAATCTACCAGCACATAACCGACTGTTAATGGGGATCTAATCGATTAGTGCTGCCTCAGCCCTAGCGCTTAGTTCGACACCAATGCCAGCAACACAAGACGAAGGTGCCACAGGGTCCCCGGATAGGCGCACGTAAAACAAGGCAGCCAGTTTGAATGGTGCATGTGGTTTCACAAAAACTGCTTCAGTATTCGTATTTGGTGGTAGCATACAATTTTCAACCAGGCAGTGACTCGAGAACGTTTAGATACAGTCGAATTTCCACCATAGGCGAGCCGCTGTATAAGTTGAAAAATGGGGATACATGAAGTGAGAATAGAAGTAGATAAATGACGTAGTATATAAAATAATAATGATGAGTGTTACCAGATGAATGTAGAATGTCTGAATTCTAATTAAAGCGAGCTTAGTATTTCGTGAAGTGATTGTCATCTAATTAGACTTGTGTGAGGGCTGTGATACTGCCCGAGTGCCCAAACCGAAGCAGGTGGTTTTCTTAGGTGGCCACACCCCGAGCCTTTGACCTGAAGGTCCGATCCACAAGGCAGTGGAGCAACGTAAAGAGATGCAGTCCAGTGGTAGCCGGTGACTAACGACTGGTTCATACGCCATTTGTTCCCTCAGGGTCCTGGAGCCAGCCCATGTGCACCATTGGTTTGGAAATTAGGTTTTTCCAACTCTCATAGGTGTACCCTCCGTGTCCACCAACCCGGTTAAAGCGCCGGACATTCGTTTTTCGTCCTCTCAATTTCGTAAACAACACTACTGCCACGAGAAGGCAGTGAGTAGGACTTTCCTGGCAGAGGCTATATACGCGTGGCCATGTGAGAGAACTTAGAGAGGGAGAGCGGACTCTCTCCACTCTCGGCAGTACCAGGGCATTTGGGGGCTCGGATCAGGGACATATCATTTGGAAGCCCAATGCTTTACCTACTAAGCTATCTTCAAAATAAGCCACTTATTTAGAATTATGAGAGTGAGATGATAGCAAAAGATTATCTCATTTAAGTAATTTTTTCTAATATGAACATAGATACAATGAATGCGATAATTTGGTTTAGTTCCTTACAAAAAAAAGACAATATTAAAGTCGGCTGAAAAGAAAGTAAATTAAGAAAACGCACAATTACTATTCTTGTTTTAACTGTTCTAATGAGCAATATAAAAACAATTGAATCTGAGTACTTAATAATATTTTTAAAGAGTTCAATCTCAACACATCACCGCTGAATGTAGATCCAAATATGCTATTTGGTTGACAAAAGAAATGATTAAATCTAATATCTGTTTACATGCACAGAAGCAAGCACAAGCAAACATACATCTGTCCAACATGTTTACATTTTAAAGCCATAATTTGGTGGTAAACGGTCACTCGTACTACTTAGAGATAGTAATGAAGGATAAAGCTGTGATGTACTGGCTGACACATCTGAATTCGTCATCACATTAGGTACATATGATGAATGAGGAGTATTGGAAAAGCTTGATGCCCTTATATGACCAGACGATAATTGCTCCGCTAACTTTTCACATTTAAATCTACGTTCATTACATAGTTTACGAAGAGGAATAAAATCTTTCAAAAATGCATCAACATCCATGGCTTTGTCAAGAAATCGACTAGCCAGTTCCTAGAAATAAAGAAATGAGGGAAATGACAATATACTTCAGATTGTTCTTCTGCTTGTGCGTTGGCAGTTTGTAACAAAGCAAGAATTACACTCGGAGAGTATTTTGTACCGATGTTGTCTTTATTTTAAATGTTCAAGTATTGTGCAAGACTTACCAACTTCTGATTTACGTTTCATATATTCATTTTCTAATTGTCTGTAATTAGAATAGGTTTCTACAAGCTCCGTTTTGATCATATTGAAAGTTGGTTCCATAGATAGATTTGCTTCAGCTTGACGTCGGTTTTCATTCATGCAGGCTTCTTTGTCAGACTCGATCTTTTTAATCTGGTTTTTCAGAAAAAAAGTAAACGTTTAACAGGGAACATTTTAGGACACTTACATCAGGACAATTTTTAGCTAGCTTTTTTATGCCTTCATGGTCAGATAATAAGGCTTCAAGTTCCGTTTTGGATAATTTTTCCAAGTAGGATAGAATATCATCCTTGCCATCCACTCCATTATAACTTGTTGCATTCATTATAGTTCACAATCTAAAAAACAAGGGCATTATGGGATTTCTCCACAGTGATTCTTTTTTAAACGAACACATTAAAGCAGAACTTTACGCTGATACAGAGAAACAGAGTAGTCTTAGAGTAAAACTTTAGTTTGTATGACCCCTGAATGACCTACAGTGTTTAATCGCTTATGTTTCAAACGACATTTAGTTGTGTTGATTTACCAGCTTAGTACCTTATGTATATCTTATTTAACCGAAAAAAAACTCGTTCTGCTGGGTAGCTGTGTTCGCTTTTAACATCAATATTACTTCGATAATCCAGTCTTAAGGATAGTTATAAGTCAAGCACATTGTGTCACTGTGTATTCACTGATTAGTATTTTGTTCATTATTTTAACAATTTAGAAATTGCATCACCATAACATCCTAAACCCCTCTCAATAACACTCTGAAAATAAATATCCATCTCTTCAAACTTTCACACAGGACTGCAATCAGCTATCACATCTTGGTTAATATCTTTCATACATCTAATGTTGAGCGTTGAATAGTGTAACGATATAATTTATTGATCTATCCATTTTGAAGTAACTTATAGGTCAAGTACATTAGATTTCGTCCCTCAAAATAACAAAGAGAACACCACTGAACAAGATGCAATATTTTTCAAACAGAACCAAAAGAATAGTTAATCATTTCCGAATTTTAAGTTTACAAAAACTAACTCAGCAGTGATTGACGTATTCTGGAACTAAATGATTTGGTATAAACATTAAACATATTAACAAGCGCCATGATCTCTGTAATCTGATAGTCACATTACCTAATATGATGACTAAATTAAATAAAGATCTACTGTACATAATTTTGGAAAGTTAAAACAGATCAGTCAGGTCTGAATCTAAATAGCATATATGGCTAAAGAAATGTAATGTAAGCAAAAAGATAAAACAGGAGATTACACAACGTTTGTACGTAAAATAAATACTTTAGTTAATAAAAGACAACTATATTAATAAGAATGATTTAAAATTAGGGTACAGATTACTCAGAAACAGCTTCGGGTTAGTACTTAACAAGCGTAGCTTAGTGTACAAAATATATACAACTTTTTCAGATCCAGGAATCGAATAATGAAGGATTTATATGGTTTAGGCTGTCATTGGTTATAACTAACTAATCAAAGGTGAATAGTGCACCCAATCGTCGAATGCTCTTAATTTACAGTCTGAATATTGTCGTCAGTTTTTTTCAAAAGTTCTCTAACTAAAAGTTAAATCCGTTTTAAAGAAATATGTAGTCTATATATATTTGATTATTTTGGTTATTACCCTGAAGAAGTCCAGACAGGTTTGCTGGAAGAAACGCTGGAATTATTTAAATTTCAATCACTGAGATTAATTAAATATAATTGTCACATACAATTAATCAGTAAAAATCCTCAAGAAACGCATAAATTCTAAAAATGAGTAGCTGAGATAACAAATATATAATCTTTCATTGATCGGTGATAGCACATACAACAGGTTTTGGAGAACAAATCAAATGTATAGTTGGCTTCATACTGAAAACATCGTGATTTGATGAGCAAATATATGGATCTATTATTGATTTCGCACATCGGTTTTGATATTGATTCTTGTAATAAAGTACAAAACATGTTTGCTGAAATTATATATATATATACCAAAATCACATATATTTCAAACTGTTAACAGATACCTCTGCTTTTCCTAATATCTGACAAACTGCCTTTTATGAAGAGATCAGCTTTGCCGACTATACTGTTTCAGTTTAACTATGTTGAGCGAAACCCTTGTTAACTGAAATCTAGAAACAATTTGAGTGATCAAAAATAACTACTAGTGTATTGTAGGTCATTATACTACCAAAATCTATGATTTTTAAGTTACATACAGGTTAGTGATATTCCAGGCAGTATTGTCCTTCAACTGTAAAATAACTGGTTATAATTTAGTAAAAAAATAATACAGACCATTGTCATAGCGATAGTCAAATTTAGTTGAATAAAAATTTCTAACCACCTGGGAATCATGCAATCGTATGTTGTACTTGACTGTGTTAATATTCTAATATACGTTGTTAGCTAGGATAAGCAACAAAAGCATTTGTGAAGTACACAGGTAAGACAGGAGATAAGCAAGTATGTATTGATGAAGAACCCAGCACAAAAGTGAGTCGATTTAAAAAGCCTGAGCAGAGAAAAAGAAATTCATTACATGTGAGAAAGTATTTAAAACAAGAGAAACGTCTAAAAAAGACAAACAAATCAAGAATAATACGGTATTTGAGATTCAGAAGGCGAAGAGTAGATCCATTTGCATCACTTCCATGCTAATAGCACTCAATAACTAATGGATTCTAACCTATCAAGACCCAGCTCATGGAGTCTGTATTTCGATACACAACTGATAGACTGTCAGGTGCAGCCTGATGGGATGAGTTTACGAGAATCCATCAGTGCAACAGACCTTGAAGAAATCCATTGGTTCTTTGTAATACTGTGGTTTAAATCACTAATAGATGTCACTGCTGTTTCCATAGCTGCTTGTATATCTTTCCAAGCAACATCTGGGTCAGCCTCGTTTTCAGAACTACCTAAGTGTGACCCCTACCTACTTTCGGTTTTCTCATTACTCATTTCAGTTCTAATAGGTCTTCTGAGTATGCTTTTTCTGGGTCCAGTGAGGCACAAGCAGATGTGTGGCCGTATTAGAGCATGGTCGGATTTCAAGCAGGTACTCCAGAATGAGCGACAATCTTCTATCGAGCCTCTCCAACGATGACTGATGGCAATATGGTCTATTTGAGTCCATAGTTGGTTTGGTGTAGGGGGTCGCCATGTTAGACGATGTCTCTCCTTATGCTCAAAATTTGTGTCTGCTAAAAATAAACGATTGTCTGAGCACAGTTGCAGCAGACGATCACCATTATCTGTTCGCTGAGCCGGAATACTAAAATACCCACCTAAATGCCTTTCTGTTTGGTTTAAACTACCTATCTGGGCATTAAAGTCACCTGCTACGAGTACTATGTCTGAATGTTTGGCTTTCTGAAGAAGTTTAGACAGCTTTCTGTAAAATTCATCTTTCACTTCATCCGAGCTGCAGTCAGTGGGAGCATAGGCAGAAACGACAGAAAGGCAGCGACTTGTGTCCCTATCCTTCCAAGTTCTTACGGAGCCATTTAGCCGAACAACATATAGACGACTGTTGACGGGGGTCCACTCTAGTAGTGCTTGTTCCGCCCTCATGCTTAGTGTTATGCTGTGTAATATACCACTAAAGACAGCGGACTGTTATCTAGTACGTCCTTCACTTGGTAGACAGTCAGGTGTTTCCAGTGCAACAGAGCAAGTGGATTCGAGAACTGCAAACAAGCTTTTTGTGTACATTAGTACTTATCTCGAGGAACCGACTCAGTGTTGATACAAATGACATATACAGAATTACCAACATGCTAAACCACTCCACTCCCCATCTCCAAATTAGTAGAAGATGGTTATTCCAAGGGTGTGACCTTAAATTCTAATAGTTCTAAACACAGACTATCAGTAGATTTCCCACTGATTCACTCATAAAACCTTGAATCCTGCTACAGTTTATGTTTAATAAAACAATGTTATCTATCTGCTTATTCAAAAGGAAATTACCGAGTAGAAGAGGACATATAGACATTTAACTCCAATAGATGCGTTAATACGATCTACTTAAAACGAAGAATCCGTCTGTCATCGGAACGCAATATGAACATGTTAGAAATCCAGTTAGGTAAACCCTTTTCACATACTTGTAATTAGTAGCTGATTGCTGTGTGAACTATGGAGGGAATTCTGGATAGTTCATCGATTATGGTTGTGTTGAGAAAAGGTATTGAACAAAAGCGTACTGTGAAATGGATAAAACTGCAGACAGCAGCACTTGTCACTTGATTAGCTACTAAAGAACCCCCACTGGTAGCTTAAATGATTTTCCCTTGTTTCGAAACAAGCTAACCACAGCTAGCACCACAAAACCTGACAGACAAAATCTATAAAGACCAATTAGATGGTGTAATTTAAACTAAAAGTCCTAAATAAATGAAGCCTAGGAAGAATACTGACAATGTCATGAGCAAACATAGTTTACGACTGATTTAAGAATTAATTTAATTCCGTCCAAATTTTAATCACGAGCTTTTTCTACAGTAATCACGACCGAATCAATTTAAAAGGATATAAACATTCAAAGAGTCCAGGTTCTATCAAAAGAAGACGTTTCAATTTAGTGAGTTGAATTATATTGAATACCTAGACTAGGGGATTAACAATTGTTAGCCCTATACGTCTATACCACGTACCACTAAGAGATTTCATAAACTAACCACACCTCTATTTCATCTGTCAGATTTCAGAGCAAAAGATTAGTTTTTGTGTGGAAACTCTAGAAACGACATTCGCAAAATATATCTAGGCCACGAGAGACGTGTTTTAATATGGTGAAACTGAATTATCAGCGTCCCACAACATTACTAGATCTCAACATTTTTATATCATGCTGCCAACGGATATGATCGATGTTTCGGAGACAATTGTCTGATTGTGATAAAGATTAGCGTACTGTAACATACATAACATTATTATCCGATTAGATCAATATACGACGTTACGACTACGCACTTCATTAGTCCTCAGTTTCCGAATGCCCTGGTACGGCCGAGAGCGGGGAGAGTCCGCTCTCCCTCTCAAAATGCTCTCACACGACCACGCGTTTACAGCCTCTGCCAGGGAAGTCCTACTCACTGCCTTCTCGTGGCGAGGGTGTTGTTTACGAAAATGAGAGGACGAAAAGTGAATGTCCGGCGCTTTAACCGGATTCCAAACCAATGGTGCACAAGGGCTCCAGTATCCTGCGGGAACAAATGGCGTATGAACCAATTGTTGGTCACCGGCTTCCATGGGACCGCATCTCCTTACGATGCTCCGCTGCCTTGTCGATCAAACCTCCATGTCGAAGGCTCGGGGTGTGGCTCCCTAAGAAAACCACCTGCTTCGGTTTGGGCACCCGGACAGTATCACAGCCCTCACACATATCGAGTGAGATTTGTGTGGCGTATATGTATTTGGTGCCTCTTTGTACCATTACCTATGTGTTGAAATAAAATAAAATAAATTCCTACACATTAACAGCTTCCGGGTCTGTTTATTAATCCATGGAGGTCAATGTGACAGCTTACGTGCTGACCATGGGATAAACGGCGACATTACGGACTCGAATGTAGCCTTAAACTTATCCCATTCGCCTTCAATCGGTCCGTCCGCTTCGATAGACCAATCAGTCGAGATAGCACAGACTCTGATTGCCAGAATATTAGCTCGCCAGACAACGGGACGGGGTGGAGCAGATACAAATTGTATACCATGTGTCCTAAACTTAAAGTAAAGTACAACGTGATCACTGTTTACTAGTGAGGGAAGGTGCTGAATATCAAAGACATCCTCACAGTGGTGGGTGAGGGCAAGTTTCAGCAATGACGGGTCATGTTTCAAGTCAGTATGTGTCGGTTTTGCCATACATTGTACAAGTGCACACTGAACAACGGTTGATAAAAGGTCGCTATCGAAACCACCACCTGAAGCTGTAAGCTCTATCCAGTTGATATGCGGTGCGTTGAAGTCCCCAATGATGAAACAGCATTCTGCCATACTCCAATAACAGATGTGTCTTAGGATAAAGTCGTCAGCAAGACAACATGGACTACGGTATATTCCCCCTAAAGTCACTAACTCATTTCTAGATTTAATTTTACAACATCCTACCTCACATGTACCACTAGCATAAGCCTCAGATATGATTGATTGTATACGAAAGTGATCCCTAACGTATGACATTATGCTTCCCTCCTTGCGACTTAAAACTCTATCACTTCTAATACAGATATAGCCTGCAATGACAGAATATTCTATATCTGCTGTGAACCAAGTTTCTGTAACAACAATTATATCGGGACTTAATTCGTCCACCATCAGACTTAGCTCGGACGTTTTATTTCTAAGACCACGGGCGTTCGTGTAGCACACACTTAAGGTGTTTTGGCAATTATTCGTTCCACCTATACAGGCCATGGAAGCATTGGCTTCCAAGACCTGACCACCCGAAAACCCTTAATGGTTAGTTAATTTCGCCATTTAACTTGCGAGTTCTCAACTCTGTAAGTGCATTCTTCCACTCAAGCGGCCAGTCTGGTGGGATACGAATATTTGTTACCGCTGTTCCTTAGGTAGTCGACACTATTGTTTGTGGATGACTTAAAAATCTAGAGAACAATAAAAAGTGAGGCTGATCATTTGGATCTTCAAGCTGACTTAAAGGAATTAGTTAGATGGGCCCGAGGTTGGTACTTGGAAATCAATTCTAAGAAGAGTGTGCTAATGCACATCGGTCACGGTAATAATTACCATTATACTATTGATGGCAAACCTCATCCATGCGTGCAAGAACATAAAGACTTGGGAGTGATAATAAGTCATGACCTGAAAAACAACTACGCATTGCAACGCAGCTACTTTAGTATTTACAAAAAAACAATGAAAACAGTGCATTAAAACCCATTTATAAAAGTATATCAACCAGTTTTAATAACTTAGAAATATACAACACTATCATATTTTTCTAAGGGAAGAATATTGTGATATTTGATCTTACCTTTCTTACAGATTGGGAATAACCATCTGACTTACGCAACGCAAACAGATGAAATTCCTGCCGATACAATTATCATTTTGTTCAAAATCGTTCAAGTGGTTCAAATGGTTGTGGACGGAATAGAAGAAGCTTTCGCTTAAGGGGCTTCCATGTTTAGTAACAGGGGATCACGAATAACTCCAGGCAGGAACCCAGGTATGTTAACGATAAAAGAAGAAAAAGAAATCGGTAAATCATAGTATGATACTATCCTTAGACCATAAGAATAGATCAGATTGCCTCTTAAAGGACTCCTGGGAAGTCTCTTGGACTAGCTCGGCCAGTAGTGAATTCCAGCACTTGACAACTCTTAAGGAGTAGAAGTT